GTTGCACGAATACTTGGCTTATCTTAGTGCCAACACATACTCCCCCCCCAAGTTGGAAGTGGGGCTAGAGGAACCCACTCCCAACTTGGACAAATGCTGCAAATGTGCCTGTCCAGGAAGGCTCTTAGTGAAAATATCCGCAAGTTGGGCACTAGAAGGGTATATAATGCAATAAAATCAAGCCATCTTGCAATTTCTCCCGAACAAAATGCCAGTCTAGCTCGATGTGTTTAGTCCACTCATGAGAGACAGGATTCTTTGCAATTTGAATGGCAGACTGATTATCGCAATAGACATCAATAAGAGTCAAATTAGTAACATCCATATCCTCCAAGAATTGACATAGCCAAGTTAATTCAGCCACCAATCTCCGAACAGACCTGTACTCTGCCTCCGCAGATGATAAAGAAACAATAGTCTGCTTTTTCGACTTCCAAGAGATAGGACATGACCCCAACGTAATAAAAAAACCACTAACAGATCTCCTGGAATCAAAGCAAGAAGCCCAATCCGAATCACAAAATGCAACCATAGAAAAAGAAGAATGAGAAGAGAAATGAAGTCTCAAACCAGACAAGCCTTTGATGTAGCACACAGTATGTAAAGCAGCATCCAAATGGGGTTGCTCGGGAGTCTGCATGAATTGACTAAGATGTTGAACCGTATAAGCTAAGTCAGGCCTAGTATGAGTTAAGAAATTGAGTTTGTCAATTAGCCTCATATAAAGGGAAGGATCAGAAAGCAAGCTACCTACATCAGAAAACAATTTCAGACCCAAAGGAAGAGGACTAGAGGTTGGCTTGGAATCAGTACACCCAAATTCCTCAACCAATTCGAGAGCAAACTTCCTTTGGTTCACCAAAATACCATCAGACACATACATGACCTCCAGACCAAGAAAGTTATGTAAAAAACCTAAATTCTTGATTTTGAATTGAACATCCAAAAAATTTTTAAGATGAAGGATGCCTTATATATTATTACCAGTTAACACAATATCATCTACATAGACCCCCAAATAAACAGAACCAACAGATGAGTGTTTGAAAAACAGAGAATAATCATTCTTAGAATGTTGAAAACCTTTGGAATGTAAGACATCAGATAGTTTTGCATACCATTGTCTGGAATCTCGTTTGAGACCATACAAAGATTTGTTCAACTCGCAAACCAAATCAGAAGAAGTGACAACCATACCTTGAGGGACCTTCATATACACCTCCATCAAATCCCCATGAAAAAAACATTATTAACATCTAGCTGAAAAAGTTGCCACTGATTCTTGACAGCTATAGCTAAAAGACACCTGATAGTAGTCATTTTGATTACGGGAGAAAACATTTCTGTGTAGTCAATACCCTCCTTTTGGGTATCTCCTCTAATGATAAGCCTGGCTTTGAGCCTTTCGATAAAACCATCAACCCTATGTTTAATTTTATAAATCCATTTGCTGGAAATGACATGCTTCCCAACAGGCAAAGGAACCAAACTCCAAGTATTGTTTGCCTCTAAGGCTTCAAATTCCTTGGATATGGCTTCCTGCCATCCTGGATGCAAAGCTACCTGAGAATGGGATCTAGGCTCTTGCATAGTGTAAAGAGAGTTAATAAAGGATTGAGATTGGCATGACAAAGCGCAAATACAAACATGCTTCATATTGGTGTGAGCAGATCAAGTAAAACAGAAGAGAAGGAAGGGCAGGAAATATAAGTAGAGTTACACATAAAGTCTTGAAGATACCCAGGTCTTTGGTGAGTTCTGAATGACTTCCTCAATGGAAGAACTATAAGAATAGAAGAGGATGCAATAGAAGGTGTAGGATCATGAGTAGGAGTGAGTTGAGGCACATTAGAGGAAGATGGAGAAAGAGGAGGAGGAGAAGAAGAACCTGTAGGTAGAGATGAAGAGGAAAAAGAACTTGTAGGCATGGGCAAAGAGGAGGATTCTGGAGAAGGAAAAAAAGAAGAAAGATCAAGAGGGGGGAGGGGAGATGCAAGAAACTCAGAAGAAGGAGATGTTTGTTATAAAGCAAAAGGGAAAACAACCTCATAAAACACCACATCTCTGGACATCACAATCTGTTAAGTGACAGGATTTAATACCCTATAACCTTTCTTCCCAAAAGGGTACCCCAAGAATACACAAGGACTCCCTTGGTGAAAACTTATCCCTACCCCTTTTGAGTATTGAAATGTAACAAAGGCAACCAAAAGCCGTAAGATGATCATAAGAAGGAGGTGTACCAAAGAGAAGCTCATGAGGAGTTTTTCCTTGTAGGACAGAGTTAGGAAATCTGTTAATCAAATAGGTTGCAGTCAGAATACACTCCCCCCAATATTTCAAAGGCGCTTTGGATTGAAAAAGAAGTGCTCTTGCAGTTTCAAGTAAGTATCTATGTTTCTTTTCAACAATTCCATTCTAGACGTTTCTACATAAGATGTTTGATGAAGAGTTCCATTAGAGAGAAAAAAGGAAGAAGATTTATGACTTAATCCTAACTCAAGAGCGTTATCAGATCTCACTATCTTAACTCTGTAATTAAACTGAGTTTCAACTATGAGAATGAAAGATTTTAAAGCTGTGAAGGCATTGGATTTTATACTGAGAAGATAAGTCCAAGTAGATCTAGAATAATCATCAACCAAAGTTAAGAAATATCTATTCCCAGAATGTGTAGCAGTATTATAAGGCTCCCAAACGTCTACATGAATAAGAGCAAAATGACAAGTAGTAGTTGTTGAACTGGAAGGAAATGAGTTCCTTGTTTGTCTAATATGACAAGGAAATTGTTGAGTTGAAGGTACAGAAATGGAAAGTTTAGAAGAAATAGACTTCAACTTATTGTAAGGTAAATGTCCCAATCTATAATGCTACAAAGTATGCTTATCATTCTAAATGGAATTTACATACTTAAACTCAAAGATATTCTCACAGTTCTTGGAAATATTACATTTGGAACTAGGTACACATTTATTCAAAGGAACAAAGAGAGTTAAATGGATAAAACCATCACTAAGAAACTTTTCTGACTATAAGATATATAGCCCATCTACTTCACTACCAACTTCCAGTGGCCTCTTCGGAGAAGGTCCCTGCAGCAAGAAGCAAGTAGATTCACTAAAACAAACCAAGCCTTTAATTTGCTTGCATAGTTTGTGAACTGATACTAGGTTATACTAAAAAAAAGGAACATGCAACACATTGGGAAGTGAAAGTGTTTTAGACAAAGGAAGTGAACTTACTGAACGGTCATTTACCCTATAGCCATTAGGTAAGGCAACTAAATAAGGATCATGAAGGGGATTGATTTAAGAAAGAAGAAACAAGTTAGAAGTCATGTGATCCGTAGCCCCTGAATCTATGATCCAGGGTTTTTGAGACAAGGAATCAGATGAGGCAGATGAGACAGACTATGCAAAGCTGTTAGAATCTAAGTCAGTAACTTTACCTGCCAAGTTAGCAGAACCAATGCCTTCAGGAAGAGAAGAACCTTGAGACCCAACAACAACATTCTGCAGGAGCTGCATCAATTGACTCATCTGCTCCTTGGTTATTGCTCCTCCATATACAGTAGACTGTCCAGGTTCTGATCCAGTTCCTTCATCATTTTAAGAAGTTTGTACCATAGTAGCAGTTCTTTTAGCCTTCTGATTATGATTGAATCTATCCTGAAGTTGATTATTGTTGGGGTAACCATGCAACTTGTAACACCTATCAATTAGGTGCCCAGACTTTTTATAGTAGTTGCAAAATATAGTATTTTTTCTTCCATCTCCCACATACTTCTGTCCAGCCTTAAAGTCAATGTTGAATTTTCCACCATTGTTGCTATTTCTGAAATTCATGTTACGATTCTGATTATGATTGAAGCCTTGATTCTGAGTTTGAGGTTGCTGATGCATGTTGTTGCTTCCAGCAATGAGAGAAGCAACCTCAATTATGAAGAACACACTTGCTTGTACTTCTCTATGTTTTTCTTCATGTACTAACAAAGAGTATGTCTTGGACAAACTAGGAAGTGGTGTCATCATGAGAATATTACCTCTTGATGCGGTGTAGGATTCATTTAGACCCATGAGGAACTGATACACTTTATCACTCTCAATCATACCAGCATTATGCCCTTTTGCTCCACATTTACACACACAATCACAATAATAGCAGGTCATAAAAGAATTAAAAATACTCAATTCATCCCATAGTTTCTTAAGTCTAGAGTAATATATTGCTATGTCACTATTCCCTTGTGTCACCCCAACCAAATCCTTCTTGAGCTGATAGATCTGAGCCCCATTAGGTTGACCATATTTGTCTCTCAAGTCATCCCACATGTCTTTTGCCGACTTAGAGTGCAGAACACTATTCTTTATTTGCATGGTTAAAGCAGTCAAAATCCATGTTCTAACTAAATTGTTACATCTATCCCAAGCTTTGTAAAGAGGTGAAGTAACAGAAGGTCTAGGGCATGATCCATCTGTGAAACCTATTTTGTTCCTAGTAGAAAGAGACATCAACATTCCCTTACTCCAATTCACATATCCTGTACTATCAAAATGAGTGGATACAAGAGAAATCCCCGGCACGTCACAAGAGGAAAATATAGTATGGATGTGAGAGATCAATAAGAGTGGTCACAGTAGACCCCGAATCTAGAGCAGTATTAAGTAAGTCTGTAATTGATGAATTATCTCCCATTGCAATAATTAGACAATCAAATAGACATGCAACAATTTGACAAAACTACTAAACTCACACATGTGCTGAGTGAGAAATCAGAGAACAAAAGAAATCAAAAGTTTTCCTTTTCGAATGACAGCCAAATAAAACCAGCTCTATCCAAAAAATCTACTTTAGCCGACTCGAAATGTGAATCAATCAGATGAAACCAGCAGAATCTCACAATGTTGTAGTAGAAACGTCCAGAAACAAAACCGCACGAAGTAAAACAACTCGCAAAACCATAGGAGAAATCGCAAAACTATAGGTTGCGTGATTCATCCCCAAACAATCTAAAAAACAGAAATTACGCCATCAGATGAAGAGCATTATTCAACCTTGCTCTGACACCATGAGAAATTTCAAGTTCCTTCTATGAATTCGAATAAAAATCGAAGCAAAGATAAAGGTTCTAGAAGAACGGAAAGGAGAGAAATATCAGAACTTTTACATTCATCTATCAAAAATGATACAAGGTTACATTATATACAATCAACCCCACTATATATATAACTAGGGGCAAAATAGTAAAAAATAAATAATTAAACCTACCTAATTGGGCCTGTCCTTCTAACGCAATGTTGGGCGTGGCTCAGGTGTAAAATATGGTGGCCCAACAATAACAAAGCATTAAAATTTTGAAAAACATTAAGCAATTTAGATTAAGGCTGCCATGGATAGTGGTCGATAATGGAGGTGAGTGTCGGCTATGAATGTAGGAGAGAGACCAAGAGAAAAAGATGTATTTTCAATCAAAGAAAAAGGAAATTAGGTTGAAAAAATAACTTCACGCGCTCAAAATCTTGTTATCCAACACACATATGCTACATCAGCCACAAAGGATCAGAAGATACACTTCTGGTAAGTAGAGGTGTTTAGTTGGTCAATTGAGAAGTGAAAGTGATCAACTGATCGTTGGAGACAACTTAAAGGAACCGTTTATGAATTTCGCAAATATTAAAACCTTGAATATTTCAAGAGGGGGGACTGCACAAAAACTAGAAGACAAATAAGTCCGTACTAAAATCAAAAACTGACCAAAACCACCCCAATTATACTTTTCTCTTTCTATCTGACAAATAAGTCCGTACTAAAATCAAAAACTGACCAAAACCACCCCAATTATACTTTTCTCTTTCTATCTGACAAATAAGTCCGTACTAAAATCAAAAACTGACCAAAACCACCCCAATTATACTTTTCTCTTTCTATCTGACAAATAAGTCCGTACTAAAATCAAAAACTGACCAAAACCACCCCAATTATACTTTTCTCTTTCTATCTCTAGAATTGGAGTAGAATTTTCTCTTCTTCTTCTTGATTTCCTCGAATAGTTTTTGGTCTTTTCAAGACACTTGCCCCTTTTTGCCTTCTCTGCTAAGCTTTTCTTTTATTTTTGCTACTATTCGGATCTCATCTTCTCCTCTGTAAATTTGTTGTGTAGAAGCAAAATTTATAGTTTGTTGAAATGGCGGGCCGTTATGATCGAAACCCTTTTGATGAAGAAGAAGAAGTTAATCCTTTTGCTGTAAGTTCCTTCTTTCTTTTGCGGTTTAATTCTGTAAAGTTGCTCTTTTCCCTTCGTGGGGTTTCCTATTTTGTTTCTATGCAAGTAAAGATTTCATTTTTCTGTAACTTGCAGGGCAGGTATTTTACTGGTCTTTTTTTTCCTTTTTTTGGTGGTTGGGGGGGTGTTGTTGTAACTTGTGGTATGCTGTAGCTTGTTCAAGTTTTGGGTGATAGATATGTACGTTCAGTGGTTTCTTGAAAAGTGTATAGCTTGAAGTTGACTTAAGTTGAATTTGGTGTTTCGGGTTTCATATAATTTGGAGTTGATCGTTTTTATTGTAGAAGTGCCGTTGTAGCTTATTAATTACTGAAAAAGGTGTTCTTGAAGCTTCATATTTCCTATGGTTTGTTGGATCGATTAATTTGTCAGCATCTTGGTTTGTGCGATTAATTTTTGTGTAAGTCAACGTTTTCTTTTGGAAATATTGAAATATATGATAGGCTTGTTATATAATATGATTGGGTACTGTTGGAAAATTGTTGAGTTTTGGTATTCTGAAGTATGAGGGAAATATCTTTACTTTCCCTGAGTCGAACTCTTGTCTGTAGTGTGGCTCTTAATCGTGTCTGAACATTTTAAGACATGAATATCTAAAGGAAAAATGGTTCTTCGTTTTAATCTTTGAATGTATTCCATTATGCAATTGTTATTTATTGTTTCTAGTGGCGATGGATAAGGAATTATGGACCCATTCCATGGCTTAATGCTCATAATGCTCTGTCAGATGTATGCAATTTAGTATAATGATTGGAAAATAATTGGAGTAGTAGAAGTGACAAGTGATTTTTTTTTTTGGTTATATTGTAACAGCTGGACACGTCTTGGAGAAAACATTTCCATCATATTTGAACATGAGACCCCTCTAATCCGTGATGTGTTTTTAACATGGGATCTTTTGTCCATAGTTTCATAAGTATAGTGAATAATGACGCAACTCATGTTAGGCAACATGTCACATGAATTTTAATTATTTTCTATTGATCTCCGTGAAGGAACAAAAAATGACATCTATGTGTTCACTTTTCGGATAATGTAGTTCTTTCGATATAATTGTCTCAATTATCTTCTGTTATTTGCTGCAGGATGGTGGAGGCAGAGGGAAATCTTCAGGGCAATCAAAATTTAGCGGAGGTGCATTTAATATCACAGTAAGTTGGATATACTTTTCTCTATCATATCTGCCTATATCACTCTGTTTACATCAATGCCATAAAACTAGATTTCTGTATTTTGGTAAAGAGATCAACTTTTCTGCTTTTACAAATGGCTGTTATATCTGAACTAGACATTTATCTCTGCTTAAATCGGATTATATTCTGTAATCTTCCTTTTGGTGGTATTTTTGGTGGCTTTGTGCGTGTGTGACTGTGTTCACTACATATTTTCTTCTAATCATCAATTCTAGTTTCTAAATCAAAGTGTAGTTTACTTTGTTCTGGATTTACATTTTTTCTGCTTAGTGCTTGGAATTGTTCTGGAGTTAGCATGTTTTGCCACTTTCTGCTGATACATTATATTACTAATTTTTTTCTTTTTATCAACATTTCAGTCTGGGAGTGTGCCTTCAGCAACAAATTCCAGACTGTCACCCCTTCCTCCAGAACCAGCTGATTTCTATGACCGCAATGCATCAATTGATATTCCTCTTGATAGTTCTGCGGTAGTTGGAACTTTCTGATTTGTTGAATGTGCATGCTTATTCATCTTATTTGACATCAATATCTATGGTATTTTTTTAATTGAAGTTAGTTTGAATGACAGGACTTGAAAAAGAAAGAAAAAGAATTACAGGCAAAGGAGAGTGAATTACGGCGGAGGGAACAGGTATCATCATGAAAATTTGAACTTATGTTTAATATTTCACACCCTTTTACCCGGTGATGTATGTTTCTTGATTTGTATATTTCCTGTATAAGGTGGTGAGGTTTGTTAGTTTTCCTCGGTAATCCAACAATAATCTTGCTTTTTCCTCTTCTTTCTTTTTCCTTCCAAATTTTGTATTTTCTGAATTTCCTTATGCGGCTTTATTCCGGTTTATTTCTCTTTACTAGAATTACACTTACTTATACCACTGATGAACATGGCCTAAGTGCAAACTTGTCTGCTGTATATTCTCGAAATTAGATGGGAGCTTTCCTAGAGCATCTGTCATAGAAATTTTGAGTTTACTGTTTTTGGTATATTTATGCTTGCAGCCAAGGGGCTTTTCTCTGTCTTCCTCCTCTCGTTGAAGTGGCATGATTGAGAGACTGGTTGGAAGTGTTTATTCTAATATGTGAAGATAAGAGTGGAAGATAGCTTCGACCCTCTTAATGAAATTTACAGGAGGGGGATAGGGGGTCTGTAGAGTGCTTGTCTTTCTTCCCAGTTTACAAAGTCCTTACTCTGATAATCAAATTAAGAAGTCTTTCAGTCTTTCTACTTGTTTTGAGCCAGAGGTTTTGGGTTAATTCATCTGTGAACTTGTCATTAGTATTACAATCGTCTGCTTTCTCTATCATTTGGAATGAAATTGCTTTCTATTATGTGTCTTGGTGCCTATGTCTCTTCTTTTCTCCTCTTCTTGCTGAACAATAGTGGTGGCCAAATGGATTAAAAAAATAGTTATCCATCCATATTATCCACTAAAAAGTGGGTTGGATTATGAACTTTTAAAATTGGGTAAAGAATGGATAAGATCCATATTATCCACTTAAAAAATGGATAACCAATGAGTTTAACTTTTACATTTGCAAAGACTCAAATTGGAGGTTTCTCAAGTTTGGGAGACTAGGAATTCTCCCAAAAGCGATAATATTCAAGAAGCCATAGATAATATAGATATCCATATTATCCGTAGGTTAACCCATTTTCTATCCGTATTACATATGGGTTGGGTCGGATATTTTATCCATTTTTGAACCCCC